TTTTCGACCTTGTGAAATTCGTTCATTTTTTTTTTTGAAGTAATATATAGTAAAGTCTTTTGTCTTTAATCTTCACGTGTAACTGGTAATTAAGACAATTGTTATTGGTGTGCATATGGAATATAATTTTGTTTAATTCTGCATTTATTTATCAAAATCAGTTATTCAAAAGACGAAAGAATTTGACTTCACCAACTATTCCAGTGTTCAGATGATTTCAGCAACGAACCAAACACATTCCTATGGTGAAGAATTACAATGTGAAATGCCTTTGTAATACCCACTAACACATCGTTAAAGTCGGGGTGGGAGGGTTATCAAAAGCACAGCAAACGGCAAATGGCAACTTGAAAACAAAACTGATAAAAGAAAGTGCGCACGAACGGGCAATTACCAACTCTGAGGGCGCCCAGACTCATCTAATCAGACTCAACAAAATAAAGCCTCAGAGGCACCGTGAGTGGGAAATAGCAAAGAGTCAGTTTTATACAAAATAAACTGTGACCTTGGAGGAGAGAATAGCCAAACGCCTTGAGGCCCCTATGACTTTTCATTGGTATGTGTTCTCATATGATTTTTGAGATGATTAGACTTAAAAAAACTCTTCTTACATTGCTCACAATTATAAGACTTTTCATTGGTATGTGTTCTCATATGTTCTTTGAGATGATTAGACTTAAAAAAACTCTTCTTACATTGCTCACAATTATAAGACTTTTCATTGGTATGTGTTCTCATATGTTTTTTGAAATGATTAGACTGAGAAAAACTCTTCTCATATTGCTGACAATGATACACTTTTCATTGGTATGTGTTTTCACATGTTCTTTGAGATGATTAAACTGAGAAAAACTCTTCTCATATTGCTCACAATTATAAGACTTTTCATTGGTATGTGTTTTCATATGTTCTTTGAGATGATTAGACTGGGCAAAACTCTTCTTACATTGCTCACAATTATAAGTACTCAATTAGGAAAAACTCTTCTCACAATGTTCACAATGGTATAGTTTCTCTTTGGTATGTGCTAGCATATGCACTTTGAGATTACTTGATGTGGTATAACTCTTTTCACATTGCTGACAATCATAGGTCTTCTGATTGGTATGTGTTCGTATAGGACTTTTGAGAGTATATGAATGGGATAAACTCTTGACACATTGCTCACAATGATAAGGCTTTCTCTTGGTAAGTATTCCATATGCTGTTTAAGATAACTCGACAGAATAAAACTCTTCTCACATTGCCCTAAATCATAAAGTTTCTTATTAGTTTGTGTGCTCATATGGTATGTCAGATTGCCTGACTGGGCAAATCTTTTCTTGTAAAGCTCACAGTGATAAGGCTTCTCATTGGTATGCAGTCGTTCTTTGAGATGACATGATTGGGCAAAGCTTTTCTCAGATTGCTCACAATATAAACAATAAACTCGGTTATTGAGCATCCTTTTCTTGGGGATGCTCGGTGACCGAGAGGAAGGCGTACCGTGGTGGAGTGTAGCCAGGCGATCATTTACGTAAATATTTACTTTCATTCAACATAGTATTTATCTTGCCGTGCATTCGGTGTTAATTCTTTACTGAAACTCAGGGACGGACTGGGACCAAAAAACGGTCCTGTACTTTCCCAATAATAGGCCCACCAACGAATGTAGGGGGGTCATCGGCAGTCAATCTGATTGTTGGCTATCAGAGGGTGGAATAATCAGTGCGGTCCGACGGCTGTAGACCGGACGGCCGTTCTGATCTTTTTCACAACGCATAGATTATCAGTTCGCCCCTGGTGACAAATCCAACAGGATACATACATTGTGTTATATCATTTGAAAAGTGTGGTATATGTTAAATAATAGTACTATATATTTACCATTTACATTTGGCTTTGTCAACACCTTTTCCAGATTAGAAAATTAAATATATTAGAATGCGGGTACATGGTTGTCAAAACTAAAAATCATTTCTGTAATTACTATTTACATTACAACTAGATAAATATTATCTGCAAGATCAATCTTTCCTCAAAATGTCATAACAATTCGTCATGAAAATGTTTGGACTTGCCCTGCAAACTTTTCAGGCGAGGAATAACCTCTTTGGCAGGAGAAAAAATATTAAAGATATTCAAGGAAGCCTTTTCTGCATTATATAACCCGGTATCCATGGCAATATATCAATGTATTTCTTTATTTCATTTGTATATTTCTTCATTTCACCCGTACATTTCATTCGGATATGACATCATTTTATTCGGACGTTCGATCATGTAATTCCGAAAAGCCGTCGTTTTTTCAAACAATTCGTTATTTTATTTAGATTTACAAATATATTATTTATGAGTCTAGCGAACAGCGCCCTCACACACTTATACAATAGAGGCATGATCTACGGCTAAAGTCTGGTTGGTAAATAAACACTTATGAGCGTGATTGATTGGTATTTAGGTTGTTTGTGTCAATTGAATCGTTCGTTGACCGTGTTAGTCGTTTGTTGGGCGTTTAGGGCATTTATGGGTAGTTTCAATATATACGCAATACGAACCAAGAAATATGCATCACGCATTCGACATTATAGATGGTGTCCTTGCATCCAACCTTGCTTGCTAAAGGCAATGTTAATTTTAGATTGAAACCGCAGTGTCACACAGCGTACAAACAAAGAATGCCATTTACAAGCGCTCTATCAGTTGTAGACGTCATAGAGCACCGTGTTGGAATGACAGTAAGTTCATGCAAATTAGATATCCAAAATACGAATATGAAATAAATCTTAACAGATCTTGAAGCAGCCCTATTTGCAAAACATGTGTTTCTTATGTTTTGTAATAGCACTTGTCATTTGTTCTTTGTATTCTGTTGTATTCCGGATATACGAAAGAATGGTGGCAAGGCAAAATACAAGCATTATATGTATTCAACCATTCAGCCATGTCAGGACTGATATCATTCAAATGTTGTATTGGCATTGCCCATTGCATCGTGTTGTTTTGTGATTTGGTTCGAAATGGCTTACTTACGTATTGCGTAACACTTACAGATATTGTTTGGTATTTTGGTAAGAAGTCAAGACATAATGGGTTTTGTGTTCTTTTCAATCAGTTTTTTTGTATCGTTATTTCCTGGTAGCTTTTCAAAGTATCGGGAAAGCCCACAAATCAGCAGAACATCACACCTGGTAGGTTACTGATGAATGATTGTATTGTTTGTTTGCATGTTTGTTTGTTTTGTGACTTTTATTGACAGATGGGGGTTTAATTTAAAGGGCGGTAGTCGTCGCGCCACGCATGCGCGAGATATATGGGTCTCATATAAACAAAGATGGCGACTTTGACAGTTGCGCAGATCAACGAGTACAAACTGAGACGTTTCCAAGCTTTAATTAGGTCATTTTAGGTATCGAAGGAGTCGCCGGTGGTATTCATTGCAAGTCGCGCCCAGGTCAAACCTCATACTTGTGATTTCCACGGCATTTGAAGAGCACATTGGATTGTGGGCCCGAAAAATCAATGTTTATCAACACAAATGTCGCACATGCGCAGCGCGACGACCGCCACGCTTGAATATCACAAAAGCGGTCTGTAAATTTAGAAAATTCAAGAGAGGTTGACAAGGCAAAAACTCTTCTTACACTGCTGACAATGATGAATATTCTCACTGATATGTGTTTAGCATATGCTCTTTGAGAGTACTTGAATGGGTAAAACTCATTATACACAGATCACAATAAGACTTGTCATTGGTATGTGTTCGTATATTCTATTTGACTGAGAAAATCCTTCTCACATTGCTCAGATGATAAGGTTTCTCATATTTGAGAGTATTTGATAGAGCAAAACTGTTCTAACTCTAACGACCCCACCACCACCCACACACACACAATAGGCACAGCACTGATCTCAATTAATGACCCTCCTCCACACACAAAAAATGGTGCAGCAATGATTCCAAGTAATAAAAAACAAAGGAGTTTAAAAGTCAAGCACTATTATACCAGTGGCAGCGGCACGGGGTGGGGGGGGGGCATCGCCCCCCGCGAAAAGAATGTTGGAGGCGTCTTTCCTCCAAAATCAAGCTGAAACCCTTTGCGTCAGCAAGATTTGACCCTCAATATGCAGGAAATAGCGTTTCAGAGAGTTTAGATTTCAAAATTAGTCTTAGTAGTAAGGTCGCGCCTTCGGTGCAAGGTTGGTGAGCAGATCTCGCCCCCTCATGGAAAATTGTGTGCCGCCCCCTCTGTATATATACATCTGTCTGTCATACATAGTGATTGCTCCCCAATAATGGACCATATTTTAGAGATGTAAAGTACATGGTGGGAAATTGAAACAGTTGGCATAATGGCGATAACGTGTCATTGGAGCCATTGGAGCGATGGTATATTTTCGTCATTTTCAAAATAAATTGTGATGGGCCATTAAAATGAGATTGCAGACATGTGTTGGCGTTGTTATTGATGCATGATCTGTGGCCATATACTACCTTGCTTAGCTTTTCTCCAGTCACGCCAATATAAACAACTTCACACAACATGCATTCGATGCCATATACAATATTGATTGATTGGCAAGTTAAAGGTTCGAATGCACGTGTGTGTTATTGTTTCCCTGACACGTTGCTCTGTACTACAGAGTCGCCGATAACAATTGCACACAGAATTTTCATTTCCTTGCAATACAAGGCGATACAGAGTCAGTAAAAATCCTTCTCTGGTGTTAAAATGTCAGTAAATGTGGAGTTTATGAAAAGAAACTTTTGATCTTCCATAGACGATATCATTTCATTTATTATTTGTAAAAAGGAAAGATGTTTTATGTTGTTAAGTATAACCTAGGACTTGAAATGAAATACCAGATTTGTCGAACCGGTTTTGATCCAATCTGGTCAATTTATTATAATTGTAATTCATAGAAAGTATAAAGCAGGTTTTACTATTCACCAACAGAAGCCTGGTCATATTAAATTATGTCACAACAAAAGAAGCGATGCAAGTTATTGATATTCTTTTTTATAATTCCACGTCATACGCAGCTTTATGCACTGGTGGTTCATTCCTACTTTTCAGAAGACTATTTACTTTCTGTATATCTGCATCAATGATATGATGTAGTTCTTCATTGTAAGGATCAAAGTGGAAATTCTCCGAATGCTGTCGATGAAACCTGCCTTCTAAGTCATCATTGAGACATTTAAGTCTGTCTGGCGTCAACGTAATATTTTGGAATTCTAACATTCTTCTAAGATGATAAATTGTATTGGCTACCAGATCTTCGTAATGGACAATTAAAACTCGCTTCCCCGATTCGAACCAATTTTCAACTATTCTTGGCCACCTGACATGTTGTCTTTTGACAAAATTTGTCCAATTTTTATCTGTAAAGAAAAAAATAACATTTATATCTGTAGTGTCCAGTACAATACGATTGTAAAACAACTATACAAGTCCAGAGGTGGCATTCCATCAAGGAAGTTTCAAACAATAAAAGCGTCACAAACTACATGAAGGATGAAAACTGAGGTGTCACTAAAACATTAACCCTACTTTACATCACTGAAGTCTCTGTTTGTTGTATGTCTGTCGGTCCGTCCTCCAGTAAATCAGTCAGTCAGTCACCATGGCATTCAATCAAGTAGAAATATGGACCAGATTGCCATAAAAAACAGTAATTTCGGGAAATTGTATGATTACAGAATTTTCAAACTCCTGTATGGTTCATGAATAATTTTTTCATTGATAAAAATGTTCGGAATGAATTGCATGAAATTGTCAGGAAGGCTTTCCCATGACACAGATGTGAACCAGGTTGCCATGGAAACAACAATTTCGATGAAAATTTTTCATTTGTAACTTAAATTGATGGATTGTCATGAAATTTCAGGAAACAAGTAGAGTTAGAGATTGGTTGAGATTTGAATATCATTGAAAACAAGAATGCTAAGTCGCTATGAGTCTCATATCGAACAGGACGCGGCACGACGACTGCCGCCCTTTAACTTTTTTACTACTAGTACTACAGATTCCTTATAAGTGAAGCATTAGTCTGTTTGACGATGCACGAATGACAGTGAGGGAGTATAAACAGTTGTAGCCAATCAACAACGACATTGTGTCGAAATTTCAAATCAAATTTAAAGCGGGGGAGTCGTTACCTGCGCATGCGTCAGAGGACCACGGTGTGTCATTGTTTACAAACAAGCGTCTACCCATGAACCTTTGCGTTTTTAGCGTGTGTTTTTATCATCGCTTGGAACTCAATTCCCGCGCGTGCGCAGGTGATGACCCTCCCGCTTTAAGCATCAGAAAACAATGAATTGTCACGGATAATAGTTGATAATAGCAATAACAAGCCGTTACTCACTGTCTTTAAACACTTCTTCTAAGGGCGGATTCGCCATAAATCCCTTTGTGTGAAACAGATAAAAGGAAACAAAAGAATCATACGGATTTCTAATAAGTAATATTCCAGACTCAAATATATCAGCATATCCGTGAGCTTTGTACACAACAGCACGTCCCAAACTGGGATCGTCAAATTCCGCAGTAAACCCTGTGTATTCAAAAACAAAATGTTAGTTGATTTTCAGTTTTACATTTTGCATGCAAATACACGCACCAAATGGTAGATAGAAATACTAGAAGAATAGGACTCGGATAGTACATTTAATAAAGTTTGTGTTGGAAGAATATTAGAATTCAAATTAAAATGTTAGTTGTATTTAATTTGTCAATGACCTATTTTCTACAGATATATCCAACGCCATAAACGGTGTTTCGTGGAGGTTAAACGAGATATAAGCGAACAATTTAACACACTCTTTGTTTCAAAAGTATTACATAATTAATTGATTTGTACACAACTGATGATCTGATCAACTGTTGTTTTGTTGTTCTCCTATCAAAATCAACTCAAAGCAAATATATAATAGAAACTTGATCTTCCAATGAAAACGACAAAATGTAAGTTTGACTATTAACTCAACATAGAATAGAGCATCCAATTATATTTGTATACGTTGAATTTGTAACAGTATGAATACGTATTATATATCAAAATGTAACACTTGCGTTACGTCTCTGTGATTACCAGACATAGTGGAACTTGTGTATATTAATTGCCTGCCTGATAAACAAAATAATTGTCAGCGAGATATTATACTAACGTTATGCCACACTTATGAGCGGAGCTTCTCTCCCGGACGCTTCAAATTGCAGACATGCTGTCTGTATTATTAACACGTGGTCCATCATGAAATATACACTGTGGCTATACCATACGTGTAACGCTGATAGGAATATCACCTTCCCTGGTCGTGAGTATTTGTCAAATATGTTTTACTGTTATCACTTGCATTTGTTAAACATGTGTTAAATTAATCAACTTTATTAATTTAAACATTATTCCTGTACCCATGGTTACGAACATGAACTGTTTGATGAGTATGAGTTATTTAACAGCACTCGGTCCACTGTCATTTTAAAAATCTCCATAGAGGTTTCAATCCATATGTTTTGGTACACATACAATTTGTGATGCCTAATCATTTTAACGCGCTCTTTTAATAACTCTCTCAGCTTCTAATCTGTTCAACGCATAGGTAATAGCGCATAGTGTACCGTACGTGCCTTGTGTAAATATATAGACTGTACTCTATCACGTAATTTGATGTCACCAAAGAAGCCCTATTCCCAGCCCATCATTATGGTTGTTTAACAAAGTTTATAACCTAAACTGGAAACTGAAAATGCCACAGCAATTTAATTTTAACTTGTTTAACCAGTTACGACCCAATAAAGGCGATCTCTCATTGTACACTACTACTAACGGCAAACCAACTTGTTGTTCATTGTGCACCACTTCTGCACTAATTTCACAATATGCTATAAGAGAGAACATGGAAGTATGTTTCGATAAACAACTTTCAGCTAGCTACTATACAATGGAGATATTTTATTACGCACGCGCAGTAATTACATTACAAATGTCTGTGAAATACGTAACAAATTGCATTACACGTCTATGTATAATGTATTACTGTAAAATACTATATTTTAGCTGGAATTATTTTCGCTGAAAAGATTTTTGTGTGTTTTTTATGGAATTTATTTTCACACATGTTTTACGAGTTGGAATAAAAATATAGGAAAAGATGTATATTCGCTGAATTTTATTTTCACTAAATCATTTCTTCAGCGAAAATAGCGAAAAATAAAGTATTTTACAGTGAGGCCTTTATCACATTGTCGGATGTCGTCACTACCTCAGTTTTGTCACATTTCAGAGCCATAATACCGTATGTTTTTTTACTACCTACTATTATTAACCATCTTCACATATATTTCCACGAATATTCAGAGTATAAAACATACCTCCGTTGTAGAGACCATTAGCATTATATAGCGATCCTGTATGAATCCCAGTTGCCGTCTCAATTAGATGGCGTGTCCACGTGTTTCCAGACCGAGGAAAGCTCGTTAACCCAACTAATGGTCTACTTCCATTCGGCCAATTACCATAGCCGACAGAACAGTTAGGGTAGTCATTATCTGTATTGAAAAAAAAAAACTAAGTTGAATATGTTGCAATTCAATAAAAAAAACTCAAACGAAACTAATATTTATTTGGTAGTGATATATCTACAACATGTAACATCAGCAGCAATCTGATTAAAACCCGATGTAGGTATAAGGCTTATTTTTTTTATGACCCTTTATATAATATTTATTTGTATTTTAGTTTGAATATGTCGATTTTTTGTTTTTTCTTACCGTTTTTCTAAGAACTGATTAACGGCAAGACAAATATTCAAATTAAAATACAAATAAATTATATAAAGGGTCATTAAAAAATAATAATAAATACAAAAAATGGAGCATCATACCTACATCGGATTTTAATCAGATTGCAACAGCAGTAAGTAAATATAAACGTTACACCCACCTTTCAAAATTACTCTTGATTTTTAGCCCTATAAGTCGTTTTTTTTATAGTAGCTTTTCACACAAAAATCATTTAAACGTAGTAATTTGTGTACCCCCACATTTTAAATGTGTGAAAATGTGCTATTCGACAGTGTTATTGTGAATAAATTTATATATGCTGTGACACAGCACAACCACTTAGGTTTAACGTTTATACGTCGAAAAGTAGGAACAAATTGGAGATAAAGTTGCATACATACCGGTGTCGTCTTTCGTGATATTGTGTCCAGTTATTGTGTGATTATTTTCCACACCAATGCTCGTCTTTTGTGCCTTGGATTTTTCGGGATCAGTTTTAAGCTTTAACGTTCGAGCTATGTCGTCAGTTGTTTCAGTGTTGGCATTTACAGTGCTGGAGTGTATGCCCTTTACAAACCTAGTTACATTCGATTCTTTATCGGGCAATTGTGTTTTAATCTTTGTCGACACCGTAGACCAGTCGGATAGACTAGCATGCCGAATGTTGAAGTAAAGGGATACTAGGCATATTGCCGGTAGACAAAACGGTGGTAGTTTTCTGATAACCATAATACTATCACTTTGTCTGTAAACGAAAGAAGTATAAGGTATAGAGAATGATTTAGTCCGAACTCGACTGGCACAGTGACTGGTGCAATATACATACATTGGGTTAACATCAGCTTACACAATTGTGCCACTTTTGGTCACGTTCCCCATTGTTCTACTTGGTCGTTTCCTCCTAGGCATGGAAGGTAGTACCTTCCATGTTCTAGGTAAATTTTGTAATCGTCACAGTTGTTTTTGTTTTACATATGCTTATTAGTATTAGCGCACGCACTTAGATTAGTCACGGTTACTAAAAAAAGATTAGTAACCGTGGATTAGTAATTTGCATAGTGACAGGCATTTCTGAACTGGAATCTGGTCTACGTGTCAACTACTGAAAACGTTGGTCAAGCTGTGTTTGAGCCATGACTTTGGTATTGGGCTTCACTATATATCCATAATCCCATACTCCACGAGGAATTTGGATAGTTACAAAAAGAAAAAATGTCAATTGTTATGAGAACCTTTTCTGTTCATGCAAATAATAATGCAATTCCGAGACAGGATTAGGGCGAACAAGTACGTTAATTTATTTCGCGTTTCTGTTGGACTGTGATATAAGTAATTATTCGTGCTATTATGTAACCGACACAATTATTAGCAACATTTATTCGGCTTTCCGTGTTATGATGTTTACAAAACGCTCACCATATGTATCGCTCTAGAAAAACAAAGATTACTTACGTGATTAACATATACCAACACGAACAATTGCATATGTTGCAAAACCTAACATATACAATGACAAATATATACACATCAAACGGCACAATGACTGATGAGAGAAATGCATTCAAGTATATTGATATTTAAGTTTAGTGATGCACAGCAAATAACGACGGCTACCTATGCAACCTGGATCTGTGACATAACCCGACTGTTTGTACTTTTTTTACCCAAATCTGATCGCATATCATTCATTAGAAAACAAAACCACATGTGACTATATGGTTTTGTAGATGAAGTTAAATTTACAAAATTACGTATCATTAATTTTATTATAATTAGTATGAAATATCAGTAGCTGATATTGTACGACGGACACCACACTGTTCGTGTTAAACGTCGTCACATATGCCTGTTCGAGTAGTACGCAGAGAAGAAAAAAACGAACTGTGGGACGGTATCACATGCATTGCAGCGATACGAGATTTACAGACTAGTAATTATTTGAATATAATAATATGGAGTGGTAGTTTGTTGCAATAAAGATGTTAATACAACGGTAATCCTTCTGCCGATTATCGACATTCTTTGGAGCACGCATTGCGATGAGGTAAATATGACGGAACGATTGAAGCGAAAGAACTAAAAATGATTATGGTTTAATCCAAAAGTAAAATACATTAAACCGATAACAGCTGGAGGATAATCACTTTGAGGCGAGGCCAAAAGTATTAAAGCCTTATATGAAACGGAAAAAAATATAGGCTTCCACACACAAAAAAGTGGAAACTAGTGGAAACTATTTCAGGTACCATAGCGTCATATGGTTAAAATAACTGAACAAAAAACACTTGGTCGACACATTAGAACACAGATTATTTACCACATAGATGCAATATTAATGATATTAATATAAACTTATGAACACGCAATAATATGAATCCAAAGAAATACCTGTTCTGTGCAGTTGTCCGTGAATTCCAAACCTTCACTACACTACAATAGATTGGGTTATGTGGTGAATGGCTATGAGTCACATTATGAATGCAAAACTATTGTGTCACACCTTTCGTCATCTGTGTTGCCTAGCAATAGCATCAGCATATAATGAACCCTGTATGTGATTCTCTAATAAAACGATTACGTTTGTAATTAGAGATCGCCGCAGACGTCGCGATAGCAACGTGATCAATGGCCTAACAGACTTATACAACGCGTACACACTAGGCAATGGGTACGCGAAATTTTACAAATGTTCGCGCCAGTGCATAAACTGTGTTAATTTACGCGGTGTCGTTCATTAATAATAATATTTTTGTTGCTAATAATGGATATTAATTTGCCTTAAATGAATATATAATAATATATATATTCAATTGTGTCAGTACTCATTCATGTATATCAAATATACTGATTCTTGTATTTTTTAAACAACTCTTCTCAAATGGCAAGGAATATATGACCACATCTTTTTTGTGCATTTGAACTATTATTTAAATGTAATTTGTACATGGAATTTCATGTTACGTGTGTTGAGCTACACATCTTTGGCTATTTCACGAAGTTACTCGCGTCGATGGAGGAAATAAAAGAAGGATACGAGAGTACAAATCCAAAAACAACGGAATACCTGTTTTAATTTGCTCGCATACGCAAATGCAAAAAATAAACTTACAGAAGCCCATGGCGCAATAAGATTAGGTCTTACACTCTCTGTGGAGTTTATTGATAACAACATAGCTGTTCTGAAAGATGATTATTTGTAAATAAATGACAACTAGTGTGCTTTATTACATCAAATTTGATCAAAATATGTAAAAAAATATTACTTAAATCATTAACACACCGCGTTTTTTTATGCTGGGCATTCGCTCAGCTGTCATAATATAGTGGGCAACGTCTGACAATATCGGACGACTAAATTGATATATTTCGAGGAAAAAAAACTGCATCATTGTTACGTAATTGAACAACGTTCCACGCGCACTGGAAACTCGAAAATATCCTATTATCGCCCACAAAATACAGAACATGTGTCAGCTGACTGCACCGGCCAGATATGAGTATTTTTAATTCACAACAGCCTGCTCCACATTGCGCTCGTTCTTTGCCTGTCTACAAATAAAATGAAAATAGCGTGCATAAGTACATTCTATATTCAATTAAACATCGTATCAGTTCATATTAAATGCACAATGTGTAGTGTAATTACATATCGGTTAATGCCATAATGAAGGTTAAATAGTTGAGCTTTAGACACCCAGAGCTATGTTCGCAGTCTAAACAGATTCTAACTGTTCAAAAGTGTTGAGTGTTGATTTTGAAAAGATCAAATTTAGCGGTGTTTATACGATCAAATCTAAAGCTTTGGACCAATTTGTTCAAAATAGTTTGGGTTCATTGTACCGTTTTAACAGCCTTGCATGGACGTAGTTCTGAAGATGTAGACAATGTTGCTTTGGTTCTTTGGCAACGCCGACATTGGGTTTCTGCCGAGACATTGTATTTTTTCTTTGGAAACGGGTGGGCTAAATGTTATGCATCTCCGAACGCGCATCAGCAATGTGTGTCTCAGCTACATTCTAAGATATCTGTGCAGCAACTATGACCATCCTTGTTTTAAGTTCACCGACTACTTTTTAACCAAGCAAGTAATATGCCTTGTGTCAACTTCTATGTACAACTTTAAGGTAGCGGGACTATTATTTGCATACTTGTTTTCATCTTCTAATTGTGACCAAATGACTACAAATAGACCCAGGAAAGTATATATTTTTAGAATCGCCAGACTTCAAACTTTACAAAGGTGTGTTTGCCATGCATGTATCTGCATTCTATGACCCGTTACTTAATCAAAGGTGAAAAATTACTTTTTCTGTAAAAAAAATAATTACGCATTTATGCTGGCGATAAGAAGTATTTTTTTCACTTTTTCTAGTTGTTCAATAGTCTGGTAAATTGAATGTGTCTGGTCAGTTTTATGCAAGCAACGCGTTTTAAAAAACAGTGTGCTGAATTTCAATTACTGTTTTAGTCGCATTGCCCCCAACTCAAA